CTTTTCCGGTACTAATCATTAGCTTTTGTGACGCCTAAGACTTCTAGATATATATATATTTATATAATAAACATGAGAAGGATCTGATGTGGTGGTTCCGAAAGGTGGTTCATATCATAACCTTCTGCCTCCTGATATTTTTTTCTGTAATTTGGTGAAGACAATTTGTCCCACAGAAGCAAAATCATGTTTAACTCATTCTTCATGCTGATTTGATGGCTGTTTTGGGTTCTCATCATGGGTGTGATGTTTATTGTTTTCGAGTGGCAGAGGATGTCGGTTTCAACAAACGGAAATCGTGCATCCTGTTGCTCGTCATGGGAAGTGGGAGCCTGTGGTGATATTTTGTTATATGTTCGACATGTATAATGGATAGTATTACTTGAGCTTTGACATTTTTCTATCATTTGCAGTCGAAGTTGTTTGGAAGTGTTCTCTTGCCACGTACGTACTGCCGAGAGCTGTATTGGAGCTTGTGGGATAATATCATTCTCTGGATTATTAACAGATTTCGGGCTTTTTTCCAGGCACAAGCTGAAAAGGAAAACGCTGCAAAGAAGCACAAGAAAATAACTATGCACAGGAATAAATCTAAACATAGGTCACACACCTTGTCCCAAAACGACTCATATCATGAGGAAGCGGCCTGATGAGAAACAGAGAAGAAGCCATATACAATAGTTCCAAACCCAAGAGGCCCACCGGCGGGTGGGCCCACACGTCCAAGCCCTGAGGACGCTCGAAGAAGAAATTTTGACGACAAAATGATGAACTGGCCCACACGTTAAAGAGTGCATATACTGACTGTCGTTTGTCGTACTGGCTAAGGTAAACTCTTTTTCTTGCAGGCCTCAAAGTTTAAGGCCACTGATTTTATGTGAAATCGATTTTCGTACTGTTGTTGTTTGTCTTGTAATTAGGTCATGAGTCGGAGTTAAGTACGGCCTTCTACCATAGGTTTTGGAACCACATATCGAAGGGGACTTGCACTGAACGAAGCTGAGTCCCACTGCTAATGGTGGATCCCAGCAACTGTTGATTATAATGATCGAAAAATGACAGCTCGTGCAAGTCCAAATTACACTTTAGTTCATATCAGTTACATGTTTGGCTTGGATTCAACTGATCATATTCAGGCAACCGACTATATCAACTGTAAAGTAGCCTTCACCAACAAAAAATCACAAAAAGAAGAGAAAAAAAGAAGATTTTGATGATCAATTGTTGCAGTGAGCTCACCTGAATAATTTTTTAATTTTTAATTTTTTATTTTTTCACTGGCATTGTACTGTCCTTTCTACTCTCCACTTGAGATGTTGCAGTGCCGTTACGGTCCATTTGAGATGCTACAGTGCCGTTACGGAACCATTCCGTCAGAATTTGTAATCGTTAGATCAATTATCCCCGACGGTTACAGGATGATCTAACGGTTACAAACCCCGACGGAATGGTTCTGTAACGGGATCGTAGCAATATTCATGTTAATCATTCAGAAGTTTTGAATTACCTTAATAGATTAATGTAAATTATTATAAGGCTACTACAACCATAATGCAATTAATGTGAAGGCCGACTTTGATAGAGGTTTGTATGTGACTATCCACCAGCTAATCTTTCGTTTTCTTTATAATAATTACCCAATAAAATACCACTTTACAGGTAATCAAGTTGTGATGTCAGGGATACTTTTCAACTGTTGTTCAGCATAAGCAGTGAAAATTTTTCAGTACACAAGCCATAACTACTGATTTTAGGCCAAGTGAACAAAAAATAAAGATATATTATCAAAAATTTTTACCGTTAGAACGACAGACACACATACCCGCACGGGTAGGGTGAAATCTACCGTGTCCCATCTAGTGTTTCGTTTTTGCATAGGTATTCATTTGCTCGTAAATAAAATGAATACAAAATGATCCTCTTTCACTTAGGACCAATAGGTCTCGAGTTCGAGTCATGCAGAGGGTAAGTGCGGAGCCACTATTAAGAGGATCTTGATGCGTTGATTTCTTGTAAACTTTTTGAAGATGAATAGAAGGAATCACGGATCCCAGTTCAGACATTATAAGATGTCTCAACCACGAAGGTAGTTATCTCACTAAAGGCTGTAATGAGAACCTCACAAGTCACAAATCACATGAGTCACCGGACACCGGTCGTTTTACATCGGCCCCTCAAGTCCTCAAACCTAGGCCCAATCAACAGCCACCAATCAAAATGCTTTCTTGCTTTAAATTCCACAGCCTCTGTGCCCAAAACATAACTGCAGCACCAAATAGTTTGCTGCCAAAAAAGCAAAAGAAAAAATGACACTGCTCTGCTTTCTACTCTTCTCTCTCTTGCTAGCAGGAACTTCTTCAACTAGAGTGACCCTTGCAGAAGCTAAACGTCCTCCCCCGAAACTCCCTCTGTACCACGTCAGCCAACTACAGCCCGGCCACGGCCAGTCCTTCCTCGACTCACTCTCCCTCGATGAAACACGCGTCAACTTCCTAAACTCGCGCCTCACCAGCGCAAACAATCTGACTTCAACCGGACCGAAATCCGTGCGGGTCCCACTCAACCCCGGCCAGTCCCTCGGCGTCGCCAACTACTACACCCGAATCGGGCTGGGGACACCCCCCACGACCCACCTAGTAGTCGTCGACACGGGAAGCTCCTTCTCGTGGATTCAGTGCCAGCCGTGCGCCATCTACTGCCACCCCC